TTTAACACTTTAAATTTAAAACCAAAAAAAAAAAAAAAAAAAAAAAAAAAAAAAGGAAATTTTTTTCCCCCCCTTTTTTTTTTTTTTTTTTTTTGATTTGTCTAAATGTTTTTGCGATAATTAGCTTTAGATGTTCACAAGTTTTCTGTTTGTGTTGGTGACGTTGATGATTCACAGGCCGCAAACTACTGAATGAAATCAAAGCAAGTCAGAGTTGAACTTGAAGAGAACAGGCGTTTCAACGTGCGTTCGTTTATTTCGCTGAACAGAATAATACAACTGCAGTACACACAAGACACAGCAGAGGTCAGTATAACAGCCTCTCCTTTAACCATTAAACAAAAATTACTGCTTCTTATTTCAACAGAACTAGCTTTAAAGGCGTTATCAGAAAAAAGAAATGTTTTATTTTTATTCTGTAAAAATAAACTTATGAAAGATGGTAAGCCAGGCTATCGAGAAATGACTGATTGCTGGAGATGTCTTTCTGTTTAAGTTGGATCTGATTTTGCCCAATCACTAACATTTAGCCTTTAGGTATATAATGTGCCTTCTCGACCATGAAGTGAGCTACCTGATGAGTTTGGGTGATGGTGACGACTGTAGTAGAAGTTTGTCTCGTAACAGCTGGATTCCCCCTTCTCCGTCCATCTCTGCCATTGTGTCCTAGAGCAAAGACCCTTCACCCGCTTTGCCTACTGGTGATGGTCAGAGGGCCCGGTGGCGCCGGTGCACGGCAGCCTCGCCTCTGTCAGCCTGGTGAGGCCTGACAGAGGCTATTCAGTAACTTGCCACCATCAACATGTGAACGTATGTGTGAATGGGTGAATTTTGGGGACTCAAAGTGTGAAATGAGCACAGGCAAGTGCAAGAACTATGAAGCTTACTGGAAATTGTGTAATAACCATCCCCCCACTATGAAAAGGGACGTGCCAAATTGAACAACATCTTTGCCAACAATATAATGTCTTAAATATCTCTCTTGGTCTGGCTTTAACTGCAATGAATGGATACGTTCACCTTCTCCGGTGCCATTGCCAAACTATAACTACAGACAAACAACAAATTCTAAAGCAGTGCAGAAAAGCAACGCTATCGTTTACAACTTATCACTCTGTTTGCTGTTCTTCCTGAGAAATTTAACTCCACTGAAGGGAAATGAGAATTGGAACCACTTTGGAAGTTCTTTAAAGGAAGAACTTCCAAAGTGGTTCCAAAGGAACCTCCTTCCTTCGCCAGGAAGTTCTTCAAGTCGAGGATAGTCTTGAAGAAGTTCCTGGCTAAGTTGCACACATGGTCACATTGGTCACATTCTAGAGCTTTTTTAATGCCCCTATCCTCTGCTCCAATGTATTCACAGCATCTTTGCTGTCCATTGCTGTCCTGTTACTTTGAGGTTTCTCAGGTCTGTAACCACATGTCTGGTTTCCCCTCAGTCAGATTCAGAGCTTCCTGTTATCGCCCATGCCCTCCCATGGTGTCTCTTGTTTTCAAGCAGTTCCAACAGTTACTCTTTATAAGTTCTTCACACATGTTTTTTCTGGTTTCCCTGACAAGCAGAGATTTTTGGTTAATTGGTCTCTGTAAATTTAGTTTGTGCACATAATGTAGTTTGAAGTGTGCTGCCCTTGTAAAGGTCTTGCGACCTGAAGGTAGGCACCCTCAACCCCAAGGATAAAAGGGCTATGTAGGAAGTGACGAGGCGGATGAATGTTCTTCAAGAACTCTTAAATCAAAAATCTCCAATCCATCTACAGTATTTTCTCTACCTGCTTAAGAACCATTGGGATGCACAGGGGCTGTATTCTATCACCAGAGGTCAAGGGGCTTGAGGCATCGTACACCCTGGATAGGTCAGCAGTCATTCCCAGTTGATAAACAGTAGAACCATTCTAACCATGGTTCTACGTAACCATGCTTAGAGCTCTTCACAGGGAAGAACACAGGCCAAGCTTTCAATGTCTTCTTGCTGCAAGGCATGTGGAGCATCCCCGTTTTGTTTTGTCTTAAATAAACATTTTTGTGTCTAAAGGTATCGTGTCACGAAGTCTGTTGAGCTTTACATCATGTTATAATGTCATTCTCTCATCCAAATACATACTGTTACCTGGCGTGTTGCTTTGGTTCTTTCATGGATGTTTGAGAAAACTCTTAATCTCCCATGGCAACCATTCAGGATGCACAAACACTTGGTCTCACCAAGAGTTTGTCAGAGTTTTGCGCAAATTTGTAGTGAAAAAACAGCTCACGACTGCAATGCATTTTGTTCCTTTTTATGTACTTGTGCTCATTAGCTGCGCATGCTAACACTACTATCACTGTAATGATCCCTTATCATTTTGGACTTAGCTTCCGTTATCTCCTTGTATCGATTCCTTATTATGATCCTAGTTTATTCCCTCTGTTAGTTCAGTTATTTCTCATTTCAGTTTTGGATTTGTTCTTTTGCATTTAACATTTATCTTCCCGTGACAGTTTATTCTTAATGTTAATTTAGTCGTCTCTTATTTTAAGTGTCAGATTTATCATTTTTAGATTTATTGCTTACATCTGTTATTGTATAGGTTTCCTTCCGGTTCCATCTCTGTTTTTGTCCTCTCATTCACTCATTCACTTTGCCTTTTATGCGCTTTCCCCCAGCTGCTAGTCATCTCCTCATTAGTCTCAGCTGCAGTCAGTTACTTGTAATTAGTTCATTTGTCATCTCCACTCAGTGAACATGTAAATTTACAGTAGATTATCGGCAGCTAGATATCTGTACTGCATTCACTTCGACGGGAATCTACTGTGTGAATAAGTTGCGGTACAAATCATGTGAATTTACAGTAAAATGCTCTCTGTAGCTGCCAGTATTTTTACTATAAATTTACAGGGTCATAGAAGGGGCATTTATTATTTCATAGCCATTCAGACAAAAGCTGATTTGTCTCTGATTATCCAGCTCAGCTCAAAACATCAAAACAAAGATAGTCTGCTTCTGAAGTAAATAATGGGGAACTTCCTATTTCCTCATGTGTATAATCTAAACACTGCATTTCAACTTAGGGTGTTAAAACAGAGCATTTCTAAACTTGTAAAGTAATGTTGTGCAATTAGCATATCAACTTAAAAGAACAAACTGTCCCAAAAGAACCCAGACATTACATAAAAAAAAACAACTAATTTGGACAGAGTCAGCATCCTGATTGAAGCCACATCCTCCTCTTCGTGAACACATGGCACACCACACCGTACGACACCCAGACTGTCTCTTCTCCAGACCTGGATTGATGACTGACAACTTCTTGAAACCACGTAGAAGAGTTAAGTGTCATCGGGCTTTTTGTTCAGTCTCCTTCGGGTTTTTATCTGTAATGGAGGAGAGATAACATAATTCAAAAACCTCGCAAAAGTGAAAGAGGTGGAGAGAGAGACAGACAGAGAGAGAGAGAGAGAGGGAGATAAAGAGAGAGAGAGAGATCTACAGACAGACAGACTGAGAGAGATCTACTACAGGATATTTTGTCACTATGGTTACTGGCAGCAGATATCAATCTTGATTTCTGAATGTCAGGGTGTTTCCAGGCCAGTGAGTGAGATCTGCTGCGCTGTTGGGCAACTAATTGAAGCTGATCAACTTCGGACAAACATTCAGTGGCTCCATGTGATTTCAGTGCTTCTGTACAGCAGGAGTTTCCATCTGTTGAGGTAAGCCTCGTTTCCTGACTTTATGGTTCTTACGGTTACCATGCAGTGAAAGTGCCCTTCTTCTCATCAAATATCAGTTTGTTGGACTTCTCGCATTTCATTACCAATTTAGCTGCACGTGAGACTCCTAAATGAAACATAATTAATCTGCTTCTTCTTCTTCTTTTTTTTTTTACGTCTTTGTAGGATGTATATTTTCATCTTATCATTATTATTTGTTTAGCCTCTCATTTCATACAAAGAGTATTTGCTACTCTTTGAACCGCACCTTTCCAAAGTGCTAAATCGGGCACATTACTCTGGCATCATCCGAGGGACAATGCCACTGCGTTTGCTGCTATTTATGGGACAGGAAGCGTGTTTCATCACCAAACTATAAAGCAAAAGCGAATATCCTGGAGCTGATTGTTATTCTGGCTCAAACAATGCAACTTTCCAACGTCCAAACTCTGTGCCACCACGCCGCGGGGAAGTTGACTTCCTCACGCCCAAGGCTGTATCACTTAACACCTCGTTGTTTTGCCGGGGGTAACAATGTGGCAACTGCATGCGGAATCATTGTAACAGTATTTTTCGTTTTTTTACTTCCTTTGAGTCACTGTTTGCTGGGGGGGGAAAAAAAAAAAAAAAAAAAAAACATCAGCAACCAGAATTTGCACTGTAAGTCAGTTGTGTTAATAAATGCATAATATTAATGTGCGAAAGGCAGTGATCATATCCAGTCTGATACTCGCTGTTTTTATCTCATTTATTGCTACACTATTAAAGATATATTAGATAATAACGTTTGGAAACCTCTTCCTTCTCTTTCTGTACAATTCAGAACGAACAAAGCTGTGCTTCCTTCTGTAAAATTAAATGGAATGCACTTCTGAGCTTTAAACAATTATGACAAGATTTTTATCTCACTTTATTTATTTTTTTTTCGTTCTTTAAAATGTAGTTTTATCTTCAACTTTTAAACCCTAAATAAAAAAAAAAACTTAGGGTTGCTTTGTTCAGAAAGAGCCACAAGATGGCACAATTTTCTTATAAAACAACTCCGAATTTCCAGCAAAATGTGTTTTTATCAAGTTTGTTGCCATACATTAAGTTTAGTAGTTTTAAACTACTGCTTTATCTGTTTCATTTAGTGTAACTCTTTAGGTACAAAGGTACTAATTTATGTCTAACAGTTAATGAAAATCATTCTCTTTTTACCAAAATAAGTCTCATTGCATTGCTTTTAGTTTTAGGGGGAAAAAAATCTGGAAACATGACAACAGCAAGCGTGTAACATTAGTAGAAAATGTCATTTTCCAGTTGTTTGTCAGAAAAGGAAAAATGAAAAAAAGAAAAAAAAGAAACCTGTGGCTTCTTGACTTCCTTTCTGAGAACAAAGGTGTTAAATTTGTGAATTTGCATGTATTCTAGTGGAGGTCTTACAGGCCATGAGATTCATTCTTTCATGCATGCTCAGTAATGCTCTCTCATTTGGTTTCCTGTAGCATGAAGGCAATAAAGAATAAAAACAAAACTCATTCTGACTTCTTAAAAATTTGACTTTGACAAATTCTTTGCTTCCTTTTTGCAGTAACCAGTTCCTGTAACCTGCAGATGGGTTCTGCGTCTGCACCTGCAAGCATGGCCGTCTTAACCAACAGCACATGTGACACCCTGTATGACCATAGGAAATACGCCCAGGTCCTCTTACCTATTTTCTACTGTGTTGTTTTCATCATTGGGTTGCTTGGCAACACCCTTGCCCTCCATGTTATCCAGATAAACCTGAAGAAAATGAACTCCACCACATTGTACTCGCTCAACCTAGTCATCTCTGATATCCTCTTCACTCTCTCTTTGCCTCTGAGGATCATATACTACGCTCAGGGTTTCCACTGGTCTCTAGGTGAGGCACTCTGTAAGATATCAGGCTTTTTGTTCTACATCAACACCTACGCGGGGGTCAACTTCATGACTTGCCTCAGTGTGGACCGCTTCATCGCTGTGGTCTTGCCTCTTCGCTTTGCTAAATTCAGGAAAGTCAGTAACGTCCGCTACATCTGCCTTGGCGTGTGGATGTTGGTTCTGGTGCAGACCCTGCCCCTACTTGGAATGGAGATGACAAATAGGGAGCCTCAAAACTTCACCACCTGTATGGAATACCCCAACTTTGAAAAGGTGGATAATATTGCAACCATCCTGATTGGCGCAGTCTTTTTGGGCTTTTTCATCCCTGTGGTCACCATACTGGTCTGCTACTCCTTCCTAACCTCTAAGCTGCATTTTGCAGCCAAGAACAACCACCTGACAGAAAAATACGGCCGCAGTCGCAAGGCCATCGGCGTGATCTGCTGCGTGTCTGTGGTGTTCGTCATCTGCTACAGCCCCTACCACATTGACATCTTTCAGTACATGATCCGCAAGCTGGTGTCCGACCCTGACTGTGCGGACCTCACGGCCTTTCAAGTGTCGCTGCACATCACAGTCTGTCTGATGAACTTAAACTCCTGCTTGGATCCGTTCATTTACTTCTTCGCCTGCAAGGGATACAAAAGGAAACTCCTGAAGCTGATGAAGAGGCAGGTCAGCATTTCCTTTTCCAGTGCAGTCAGGACGTCACCCGAAGGTTCCTCAAAGGACTTTATCGACGGGCACAAGATGCAGCACAACAGCGAGAGGCTCACGGAATGGAAATTGCATGAGCAAGACCAAAGTACGGAACCGAGGCAAAGCGAAAGGACATACAGAATCTCTTTGAACATGAACAGTACCTAAAATAAACCACTGATGGACAACAGGAGGCATCCGGACCAACGTGAGGCACATTCTTTTGTACATTTTTCAAGAACAATTACTGTGTTAATTTAAAACAGAATGTAAGATATTGCTCATTACTTAAACCAGCATACATATTTTTGTAACTATGTAAAGACAGGAGGTCACCCCCCTCCCTTCGATAAAATCTAAGTAGGGTGGAGTGAGTATGAAATCTACTGTATCTATACTGTGTTTTTCTATGAAATTAGGGATAAATTTGACAATAAAATAAATCCTGACACTGCAACCCAAAATCACAGTAGACCTTAACCCCCACAGTGATTATTTGAATAATAATATGTAATGTTAGTAATAAACTTTCTTTAGAAAGAGACAAAGAGACAACAGCTCCAACATAAATGTCACCAATTGATGCTCTGTACCAGAGCACACCATAAGCTAATTTGCATCTGTAGTCTCTTGAACAAAATCGATAAAGCCACGGAGCTCTAATCTACTTTCCACTTCGGAAATATCTGTTCGGTTTCTTGTTAGCGCAAGTAGCGAACCAGCCAATCAGCGACTGAGGACAATTTCATATCTAAATGCAGTGAAAACACTCAAACCAAGCAGCAGAACAGGAAAGAAAACCATATGTCAGTTACTTTGAATGTGGCATGGTTTTGGTGTGAGACTGGCTCATCTGGGTATTTTCAGAAACTACTGATCTAATGGGATTTTCACTCACAGGGCTCTCTCTCTCTCTTTGTGTGGTTCACAGAAATTAAGACAAAAACAAACCAGTGAGAGGCTGTTTTGTGGGTGGAAGTGGGGTGTTGATGTCAGAGGAAAATGGCAGACTGGTTTAAGACATAAGGAAAGCAAACAGCAGCTCAGATAATCACTCATGAGTGGAAATTTGCTCTGAATGCCAACATGCTATGGAAAACCCCACCGGGTGCCACTCCTCGCAGCTACGAACAGGAAGGTAAAGCCACAATTTTAAAAAAAAAACTTAGCCAACATTGAGATTTTTGGATCCTCAGAGGTAGATTTTTGGCAACAAAATCATGACACCATGGATCAACAAATGTATTTGTATTATGATCATTGCCTAAATGCTACAGTGCACTCAAGTATACTGTTGCTGACTATGTCCATTCCTCTATGACCAACCTGTACCCATGGTGCTCGATCCATGTCACAAAGCTCAGATCATCTCAAAGTTTCTTGAACTTTGAGATGAAAATGTCTTCACTGCAATCCAGTCGTCTCCATAGTAACCAGATTGCAAACCAAAAGGGCACCGTTAGAATGTGGTGGAATATTTGCATAATGGATGCCGTCATGCTAATACGGACCAAAATATGTGAGACTTGTTGAATCTATGCCACATAGAAGAAGGGCAGTTTTGAAGGCAAAGGGGATCCAACTCAGTTCATTGTACCTAAAAATGTGGCAAGTTTCGTTAAGACCGTCACACAGAAAATCTTCTTACTGGAGTTTCAGGTCCGTTTACACCCAAAACCCAATAATTTAACATTTTGAAAACCAATTTCATTCATACTACCTTGTAAAACAGTAGATACTGAATCATTTGTTTTCTCTCTGTAAAACTTGTAAACAGTCTTTAACTTGTAAATATATCTTTCTTCCTTTTTTTATTTTTGTAAGTTTTCAGCAAAGACTCTGCTGGCATTCATCCATGTTCTATTCCTACTTGAAAATAAACTGTTTGCTACTTTAACTGGTTCAGAAAAGTGACATTTTGTTTACTTACCAATGATTATCTAGAAGTTTTGTGTTCCCAGTCCTTCTTAAAGCAGAAGACAAAACCCTTCGGGCTAACCCTGCATACATGCAGAGAACAAGCCCTAATAAGTTTTGAAGAATTAGCTATATTGTTGTTGTCTCTGCCTTGTATAGCTGAGAGGAGAATGAAGGGTATACATGGCAATGCATAAAAATATGAAGTATTGGAAAAACAAATTGTAATTCTGATTTTTGTAACTGATGCGCTCAGACAATGTTTTTCTTCTCTGTTCCCGATGGCCACTAATCATCAGGTGCATAGAGCTTAGTTCATTTGGACAGCTAATGCATTTTATTTGAACTAAATATTATTTTTTTAAATCCTCTTTTTTGCTTGACCCTCACAGTCATCACCGTAAATGTCTCAGATTATTACTTGTTCTTACCAAATCATTAACTGATAAGGATTCTTCTGAGATGGTTCCTCCGAGCAGCAACATGTTGCTTCCTCAAGCATTTAGTTTTCTTTTTGTTTTGTTTTTTTGTTTTTGTTTTTTTGTTTTTTTGTTTTTTCAGACTGTAACATTTTGATGGCCTGGATTAATAAAACAATGATTTCACAGAGGACTGTAGCGTGTTCTCCAAGAACACCTGAAAAACCAAGCAAGAGATATTTGTTATTTAAGTAAAAAATGTTCTGTTTTATCTGTTTTATTGTTTTATACAAAAATAAAATGTTGTGTCGCCTTGTAGTAATCTGTATAGATAATGTTTACAGGCTATCTTAGTGTTATATTTGATTATTACTGAAATAAAGGGAAGTTATCTTAAAGTGCAAATGCCTGTTTCCCCTTTTCAGCAATGGTAACCGAAAAGTAAATTAAAGGATTAATACCTGCTGTTTATGTGTGTCTGACACTGCTAAGCTGCACACACACACAAAAAAAAAAACGTGATGTTGAAATCTGTCTCCGTTTTTATCTTTGGTGTATGGATCTGTTGTCAGAGCTCGGTGTTTGAGACATATTATTGATATATTTCTGATTCAAGGTTTGATACTTCTCTTTGTGCTTTACATAGAAGTCGGTCTTTAACATGCCAGTTTTCTGTTGTTTTGCTGTTGGCTAAACTGGTACCAATATAGAAGTAAATTACGTGTAACTGTCAAATGATTTTTGTGAGGAGAAGAACCAGCTGTGGCTTTGCAATTTTCTAAAATAATAATTAAAAAAAATGCAAACCTCAAAATAAAATGATAGTCAAAGAGTGGCAAGCTAAGAACCATATTTCACCAATTCACACCTCTAGAGTTTCAATCAAATCTGAAGCAAACGCTAGACGAGAGAAATGGTGCAAAGATAAAGCAAAGTTGAAAATAATCACAAATCAATTTCAGCCAATGAAAAAGCTTCAACAAAACCTACAGACTAAAACGTCCTAGACTGGAATGCCTGATGTCTAGCTATTTCCATTTTGGCCTGCTGCAATATGAGAGGCGTGCGAAAAAAAAACAAACAAACTGTCACTTCCTCTTTTTTGTCAGGAACCAAGAAGTTTTCTCTTGTATCAAGAGAAACATTTCTCGGATGCATTCAGACAAATCATGCTGAACTGAGATCCTGATATTACAAGGGGAACCATTTTACTTTAAATAATTACTTCAGGTTTGTAAGGTTTTGTGTGTGTGTGTGTGTGTGTGTGTCCGTGTGCGAGAGCATGTTAGGTTTTATGTGTGAACGATGAACGTACTTTGAAAATAAAGCCTGATTCTGATATGTTTTATTTCAACATTATGTTAAACCTTTTACCTGAAAAGTACATAAAACATAATTAAATGTCACACTATATTTGCACAGAAGCTTTTAGTAATAATCTTTATAACAAAGGCAAAAATCACTTTTGTTGTTGCCCTTTTGCACATTTTGCTGTAACCACAAACTTTCATGACTTGGATCAGATTAGAGTTGACATTTCTTGTGATAGACCAGAACAAATTGACCAATCAGAAGGTAAACAATACATGCTTTTCAGAGTTTTTTTTTTTTTTTTTTACATGAATAAAAGTCTGAAGTGTTTGTGAGAAAGCAAGCTTACAAAATCTGAACTGACACTTTTCAGTGGTTGTAGGAGCCAGCCTTTGCTGCACATCCAGCTGCTCGTCATTTGCGGTATTACACGTCTCACCCGATTTCACACATGATTATATTTTTTGCCTAAGTTCCTTGCCGCTACTTCTCGGATGCATACAGACTTTGACTGGGACAATCCAACACACATTTTAGCTGCCCTGTGTTCAGATCCATTAGCTCTGACCAGCTTCACTGCTTCTGCTAAAGCGTCCTCACAGGTTGTTCTTGCCGTCACCATGTCTCACCATGTGGATAGAGTGTTTAGGATAATGTGAAGGGTTTGTTTTTGTATTTTCTTTCTTACCACATATTTAGTCAGTCAGGCTAGTTCTCTGGTTGTTGTTCTTCTTTTGCAGCCTTTCAGTTTAAGTGGAAGTTTGTGTCTTGATAGTGTCTTTTTTATGACATACCCTTTCCATTTTTCAACAATCCACTCAACAGTGTTCAATGAGATGCTCAAACCTTGGGATGTTGTTTTTAACACCTCTACAATTTTAGCGCTAACCTTGCCGTAAGGTTTTACGGTCCTCGTGTTCTCTAATGTTAACTTGTAGCCCGTGGGTAATTTTGTTGTATTTTGCTATTTGTTTGTGCTTGTTTTCGTCAAAGGTCTTGCTCAGGTCCTCTTCCGTAGCTGTTCACCTTTCCCCTGATTAAACTCACTTGGTTTCAGTGTCGCTCTCCGTCGCTCCTCTGGGTTTATGCTCTCTGGGTTTTTATCGCGCCCTGCCGGTTTCATCAGTTTTATCCCATCCCGTTTCTTCCCCTGCTCGTCTCGTGCCTTACCTGTAAGTTTGTGTCTGATTTTTTTTTTTTTTTTTTAATTCAATCCTTCATCACCATGCTTGCAGTGGCTGCTTGAAGTTCAAGTCACTTTATTGTTAAAAGAAACCCAGGTTCTGTTGCTTTCCCGTTGATTGGCTTGATTTTTAATTGCAGCGTTTCTGTTCCACAGCACGCTCACGTGCGTCTGTCCTGAATGAATTGAAGGAGTGCGTACCTCTTGAAGTCTGGCGAGCTCCGAACTGTGCTTTTCTCTTTTAGCAAATATCAAACACCCTTACAATCCTTTAGTCAAAAAGAGAATGAAACCAAAGTGACTGCTTCACATCCAGATTATTCTTCTATAATCTCAAACACTTTTCAGATCATCTCCAAGTATGCCCACCAGAGGTCACTTTTACACAAAAACGTACTTTAAACTTTATAGCACGGTAACTTACTGTTAATCTACAACAACAAAAACCAGTGTTACGAGATAACAGTTTTGGTTCGGCTCTTGTCCAAAACTCCTGTTGTCTGGTACTACAAACTCATAAGTCATGACATGTTAAGACTCTGAGCCTTTCACAGAACAGCAGGATTAATACTGAGACTAAACTGAACACAGATGAACTCCACATACTAATTAGGTGCCTTCTAGAGTCAATTAGTTGTGCAGGATTTTTATTTAGGGGTACCAGAATACAGAGAGGTGAATACACAGCACACTTTTCAGATGTTTGTTTATAAAAAATCTTTTAGAAAAATGTGAATATCTATTCTGTGCTATGTGTCGCACACAATCCCGATGAGATGCATCAAAGTTTGCTACAAAGTGTGTAAAAGTTCAGGGGGTGGGAATATGTTTGCAAGGCATTGTTTTCATAGAATATTGTAAATAAAACTCCCACACGGTGAATACACAGCGCTGGAGATCACTGCCACGTCAGATGAGTAGTTCTCATATCAGCACTGGCATCTGGCGAGTGACATTTACTACTGTGTATTTGCAAGAGCTCACTTGTTTCACAGAAAAAAAAAGAAAAAAAGAAAAAACAAACCTGAGATTGTATCAGTTTGTGGTTGAACTGCACCAAAGAGAGAAGTTAAAACGTCACCACAGGTATCAAGGGGGGAAATGTACCCTTTCCTCTAGATGCTCAAATCAAACGATCAGCTCCAAGAATTATTTTAATTCTTTGTGTTGTTCACTTTATTTTCAGAGAAACATGAGCACAAAGATAATATCACAGAGGAAACACTAGAAGGAGTTGATATTAATCTGGCATTAGGCGGTAATCCTACTGTCATAAAGATCAAGAAGCTTTTTCTGTCACAGAATGACTTCCTGCTTATTGTTTTGTTTGTTTATTAAAACCTATTTCTTCAAAAGTATTTTATTAAGAAAAGATGGTGAGCATTAAAAGACGTTTTTGTCTGAATGTTAAGATTTTTATCCAATGTAAACAACGTAGACAGAAGGCTGGTTGAGGGGGATAAAATGTACCTGAGCCTCCTCTAAAAGTATTTCTTTTCATAAGAGATTCATTTAAAATATTATGTTTTTTTAAAACTCTGTCTAAACTCTGTTTTCAGTTCTATTTGTTTACTTGAGGTCAAAGTGAAATAATGTTTTAAACTGATAAAGAACAGCTCATACTTAAATGTTGTGATCTAAAAGCCTTATATTTGATTAATGATATTGCTGCCTATTGTTTTGATCCTAGCAGCAGCTATTAAAAGCATAATTAAGAACACTGATTCAGATTTTTTTTTTAATTACTTTTATAAAATACAGAGTCCAGGTGTCATTAGGAGCACAAAAAAACCCCTCTGACTCTCAACTTGTCTTCCATTTTTATCTAACTCCCAGTATTTTAACATGGTTACACAATCTATTTTTTCATGATACTGTTCCTTTACTGGGCCAACTGGACCAGTTATTATCTCCAAATATGATTAATGGTGAGCAAGTGTGGTCCACAGCAGCGTATTGTTACGTGTTTAATATCTTAACCTCTCTGTAAGCATGCTTTCATTCTTTTTTTTTTCTGTTTGCTTTCATTCAAACGTGTCCCTTGCTGATAGTCTAGCTGCTTTGTTTGCAGTAAACACTGCATTTCACACATATAATTGCCATCTGCTTTATCGCCTTCTCTCTATCGCTTCGCCGTCTTTGGGGATTCGGTGAACCTGCTTGTTTTAAAGGAACAGCCTGAAACTATAAAGATGTATCAAAATATCCCAGGATTTAAATTGTACGACAGCTGTTTTCCGTTTTCCGATGCTGAAATATTTGGGCTCTCGGCAGAGGTGGCTCAAGGTTAAACGGGGCCTCGAGAAATTTTTATTTTCGGCCCCCTTTGAAATGTTTTCACACCTCATTATTTTTTGAGTTCGGCCCATCTTGATTAATGGCAACTGGTCGGCCAACAATTAATTAAAATGCGCTTTACTATGGCTCAGGTGGTTTATATCATCAATTAGAAATACAACAATTAAGATGAAGCACACATTTTTATTTTCTGTTTATACTTAATTTTAATGTTACTTTTATGAATGCTCTCCTGACCTTAGAGGGAAAAGATGTGACTTAATTCCCACCTTGTTTGGTAGCTCAATGAGGAAAACAAAATTTGAGGTGTGGTAATGTTTTCTATCTGCTGTTGACACGGTTTCATCAGCACTGCATCGCTACTTCTCCAGCTAAAGCTCAGGGAAATGAAAAACTATGAAAGTGGGTAGTTTCTTCAAACTTATACCAGAATGTGACTCTTAATGAGGTCTGAGCTTTTTAACTCAGAAATACTGAACTAGACCAATGAGTTCAGTATTTAAAGAGAAAACTTGGACTTAGAATTTAAAAAAAAGCATGTTCTGGTGTTTAATGAAGAGTTAATATATGACTTACCAATTTGCCAAAAATTCAGAGATAAAATCTGGAA